GATGCTAGGGTGGTCCCAATTTGAGTGTATGTATTGTTTATCTTGCCGGCGAATGGGTTCACCACGAGGCTGAATTTTCAAAATTTATGCATTAGAGCGTTGCAGATATAGAAACATACCACCCCACTTTATCACTCGCTCAGACGTGTCAAGCAAACGATGTGGCATTTATTGAACAGACTTCATGTATTATCATCGATGCCTGATCACGTCGAAAATATATATATTGGGCAGCAGAAATGCAGACGACACAAGCCGAGGGCGTTACTTTCTAATGGGTACTTTGCGTACGGCGAGGGACCGCAGCACGCCCTTTTCAGATTCGGCAAAACCACTTTATACATTTCCAGTGACTTGGAGATATTTTGCTGCATAGGTGAGCCTCAGTTACTGTACCTGCGCCACTCGATCGTTTCCTATTTGTTATGTCGGGTATCCTGATATCAACATATGTAGAAATACAGCTATATCCCTCACTAAGGGCTGTAATTACTCTGATGGTTACGACGAAGGAATGCATCCGTTCAATTCACATCCGAATACTTGGCAGAGAGCAGCATGTTCATGAGGATCGTGTCATACCGGACACCTCATTTTCGTGACCATTCCTCTGCAGTCTGGAGGATGACAACACTGTGACGATCTATGAGTCCTCTCCTGCTTTTTCGTATATGGAACGCTTATCGTTTGTGATGACCGTGATATTGCCAACATATGCTAAAACATTATATTCAATGAACGAAGAAACCGATGGACAACCCGATAATGGCACCGCCAGACCTCACTCGTCGAGATATCCACTATTGTCTAACAATACCTGCTCAAAAATTAAGTCCACGGTGTATGGTACTATAACCGCCTGCGAGGCCTAAGTGGAGAAGTTTTATCATCTTCGTCGTGATACAACTGGAGGGAGAAATTCTCTGAAATGCTGATTTTTGACCTCACCACGTCACCGCGTGGCGATGATGGCTTCAGCTTGGGTCCACAAATCCGCCTTCTCGTTCCACAAACCATCCGCCCATCTCGCCTTTGAACGCCGCCATGGCACGACCACGACACGAGGATCCTCGAAGGAATTAGCAATCGCTAAATCCTGTCCAAACCGAAGTTCCTCGTTTATCAGGTAACGAAGCACGCAGACCTCCAGCTTGATGCAATTCGCCAATATGGTACTAAGACCATAGCTCGATATAGAGCCACAGGAGAATGGGAAGCCAAATACGAGAGCGAGGTGCGTCAGCTGCGAGAGCACTGCAAAGTTCGGTGCCCAGCTGATTAGCTGTCCCCAGGTATCGTATAGCTCCAGGTGCGTGAGCTCTTGGTAGAATGGGAGACTAAAATCAGGAACGCGGGAATTTAATGCAAGATGCTCGGCAGAAAAAGACAGATGAATGGGGCGGATGGAGCTGGTGATGACGAAGTTCGCGACGGGTGATGGAGTGTTTGGCCAGACTCTGAGATCTGTAAGGCCAGTGCATACTGCAAGGATCTTCATGATGTAGCACATTGGAATGTCAGAGAGGAGAAGTGTCTTGACGTGTGTAGCAAAAAACGAAGCGGGCTTGGTCTGGAGGGCAGAAAAGAATCCCTCCAAGACTCTTGCTGATTCAATACTCTCATATTTGAGTGCGATGCACTTGTAAATGGTAGGTTCTACCCTGTAGTCAGAAAAAAGTCAAACTTCCTCTTCGGTTCATAGGTTTGTTGGGGTGACTCACCAGTACCGTACTCGCTGAGCGACCAAAGCCAGACTCAAAGCCGAGTTACGGTCACTTTTGGCAGCGTTTTCAAAAATTTCTTGCTCCAGCTCGAAGGGAAGAGTGGACATAGCTTTTCGGCTTATCAGATACAAACCTTCTCAACTTTATGGCCATAGTTTATGCGAATCCCGCTTGGCATATCATACCATCAATTAAAACAGGGTCAAAATCGGGATGGAGTATCCTGAAGCGAGCGGCATCCCGAAGTTCAAGTCGCAAACGATCTTGCAACCTGGAATTGTCACTGCTACACCGGTGACCAATCGCCGCCGAGGAGCGAGTGGGTAAAAGCTACCAAGTAGCTGACACCCTCCCGACACGAGCGGTGACGGCCACCGCCCGACTTGAAATCGATGACGAGAGTGCATCGTGTTCCTACGTATCAGGTTCTATCATAATGTCAGGCGTGAGCGTAACCAAAAGGTATGTGGTGTGGTTCGTCATTCACATAACAGAGAGATCTGCTCCTGATAGACCTCGCTGTCACGTGAATAAGTACTTTACACTTTCTGCCAGTGAGACTTCGATGTCGATGAGGCTGCTGGCGAAAAACATTGATCGTAGGCGTGCGAATCACGTGATCAGTCATGTGTGCAAGTACTGTGATCGTATTTTTATTTTTCTTGGTAGGCTCTGATTCTGAAATTACTTATTCTAAGCCTCGAAGGAGAGCGCATTCTTTCAGAATCCCAGCATGGACCTCGACGAGGATGTAAACACCCCCACGACTCGCCTTCTGACATTACTCAATGTTTCTGCGCTGAAAAGTCGAAAGAGGACACGAAATGAGGATCCGCCCGCACACGAGAAGTTGAACAAGCGAAAGACAGTCAGGCTTGCAGAAGATATTATTTTGGACCTAGCGCCATCGATATCGCATGACAAAACTGACAATGGCGTAGAAGACGCTATTGAAATCAACGACAACATAGATTTACAAGGTATGTCATCAGTACGGTTCAGGAGTGCGTACTCCAACGCACGGCGTCAGACACCGCTGCACCATACGAACAGCACTATGGACCAAACACCGATCTCGCATCAGACGCATCAAGGAACTCTGTGGACCAACGACGATGGACGTCTTCGAGGGAGAAAGTTGGTCAACTATCAACAGTATTTAGTTTGCGAAACGAAGATACCATCCCTCCACGGAAAAAAATAGCCAAGAAGACAGCAGTATGTTTAATCTTTTTGTATATAACATCCTGTTGACGTAGTCGCGTATGAATCTCAGATACTGGAACGTTTGAGAAGCTCATTTGAGGCTCGACGATCTAAGCTGCCGTTGGGTATGGTTAGCGGCGCGAATACCTGTCACGATGTTGATCTCCATATGTTCCAGGTCAGAGACAATTTCAAGATGACCTACTCTCGATCCTGTCCGCGCACCTTGATCTATACCATCCTGCGCTTTCTCTCGATGACCACGGAAGTATACGAGAGGTCATTGCATTACACGCACTAGACCACATTACAAAGTTTGTCACTCCCGATCTCTACCTTCATCGTGTTCATAGAAATCGCAGAAAGCGAAGACGAGTTCTGAAAAACAACGAACGTCTCGCACATGCGAAGGCGACCTCGGCCTCGCTTCCCGAGGACGTTCAAGATCAAGGTTTCACCCGACCCTCCGTACTCATTATTCTCCCATTCCGCTCGTCGGCACTCGCTTGGCTCAATGCACTTACGACACATACGCCCTCTCCGGCATATCAAATAGAGAACCACTCCCGTTTCCTATCTGAGTACGGTCTTCCGCCCGATGCAGTCGATAAACTGGCTATTGCAGGACCAGGGACATACCCTCGAGATCATGTCGAGACATTCAAGGGCAATGTTGACGATAATTTCAGAGTTGGAATCAAACTTACAAGAAAAAGCGTCAAATTATTCGCTGATTTTTACGGGTGTGACCTTGTCATTGCAAGTCCGCTCGGTTTAAGGATGTCAATCGAGAAGGAAAAGTGCGTTTATTGTTGCCAGCTCGATTCAAGGGCCATTGTAACTTCTCTTCAGAAGCGCCGATTTCCTGTCATCTATCGAGATATTGGTGATAGACCAAATGAACGCACTAGCAATGCAAAATTGGGAGCATGTCCAGGTATTCCTTTGTTATGTTTCATTCCTTTCTGTTGTTTACATGCATACTAGTATGTCCTGTCAAATATGAACAACCTGCCGAAAGACTCGCATGACGCGGACTTCTCGCGTATCAAGCCATGGTTTTTGGATGGCCAGTGAGTCTCTTCTTGGCTATTTTTTGTATGATGCTTAGTTTCTGCAAGTTCCTCGTACCTCCGACAGTCCATCCTCTTATCACCTTTTGAGATGCCGGAGGCGAGAGCGCTATTTAACAACACGCTGAAAAATACCGCGGGGAAGGTCAGAGTTGAAAAAATATGGCCTGCCATACAGGTTCCCGACTCTATCGACCAAGTTAGTGCCTTCTTTGTTGACTCGGGGACTACCTATTCACCATGCAAAGACCTTTGCTCCTTTCGACTGTGCGAGCCCAAAGGATGAACCCGACAAGCGATTTGCTTATTTCACCACTCAGGTAATCTACAGCTCTAGCCTTGACTTCTCTCATCTTACATGATGCAAGTTGCTACCAAGGGTGCTTAAATCTGCCGTACAAAGCGCGAACACGGTGATCTTCATACCTTCATCATTCGATTTCATTCGCGTGCACAACTACTTCCGGAAGCAGTCTTCCGTGAGCTTTGTTGTACTCTCTGAGTGAGCCTCACCAAATCCAATACCCGAAGTCGTCCGCTAACTACGTGCAGGTACTCTACCAACCAGGAAATTTCTCGCGCACGACAAGCGTTTTTCTCTGGCCAAAAGGCATTTTTGCTTATCAGCGAGCGTTTCCATTTTTACCGCAGGTATGTCGTTCGACACTTGTAAAATTTGGTTCCACACAACCTTGGTACCGCAGATACAAGATCAGAGGTATCCGCAATCTCATTTTCTACGGCCCTCCAGAACACCCTCAATTCTTCTCTGAGTTGCTTTCTTTTCCATTCCTCGACGATGGGGTGGAGGCTTCTGATGTAGTGTCAAGAGTGATTTATTCCAAGTATGACAAGTTCAGGGTGGAAAGGATCGTTGGGACGAAAGGTGTGAAAGGGCTCTTGGAAGGTTGTTTGTAGTTGTAGGCTGTTTCCTGGTTGACATTCCAGGAATCTTCACGTCACGTTTTGGGGCGGAGATTGTTAACTCGTTATATCGGGTCTGATGGCGTAGTTGGTTATCGCATCTGTCTAACACACAGAAGGTCCTCAGTTCGAGCCTGGGTCAGATCATTTTTATGCAGATCACGTCCAAACGATCAATTAGTGGCTTATAATAACTTAAACTTCTTTCTCGTGGTTGATGACTTACGAAATGACCACATATCTTTACGAGCTCCCAACCACCGGTTCCATCTCTTTTGGAGACTTTTGTGTTGACAGCACGACCTCCAATGCGTATGCAAGCCATATCGCTGAAACTACTCAGGCCCGAGCGAACCTGCGTGGTATACTCAAAGAGATCAAACGCACTGACACAGACGACAAGGATTATCTACGCTTGATTAAGGTGAGGCATCACCGTTTCCAATCCGAGGCTCTCGTCATATCCTCTAGGTTCTCGACGACTACCTCCCGTACCTATATGGGATCACGAGCTGTGTTACATCGGGGGACATTCGCCTGAAATCCGAACCGAGTGAGTCTTCTACTGGTGGATGACCCATGGCGAGTCTAATTGACCCTGAGATACGAAGGATTCAGCTGGCGCACGACGCTGTCTGCAAATCTATTCCACTCGTCCCCAAGGGTCGCTCTCGTATCACTGCATGCGGATCTTGCATTCTCACTGCTCACCTACGCCTTTGCGCTGTCGAACTTCGCGCGTGTGACGGTTACCAGCCTTGGTTCTTATGAACGTGAACGGGCGATCTCAGATATCGAGAGAAAGGCCAAGGATGAGAAGCTCAATTTTGCGGTGACGCTGCTGTGTAGGGCGAGCGGGATCTTTACGCACATAAGTGAGAAGGTGCTCTTAGAGTGGGACAAAGCCGGGGAAGGCGCATCGGGCAGACCGCCCGATCTGAGCAAGGAAGTCAATGCTGCACTCGCAAAGTAAGTAACCACACTCCCATGTCATGTCATCTCATCTTGGATACCGTCCTTTAGGATGGCGCTCGCCGATGCCCAAACACTGGCGATCCGCAAGTTTCTCTCCAAAGCTGCATACGACAGCGAAGTATCCCCCGGCCCTCCGCTTCCCAAATCACACCCGTCTATTCCCCTCATCTTCAAATTTCACCTCGAGTGTGTTTCACTCTACTCCTCTGCTCGTACACTAGCAATGACGCCCGGCTCCGCACGCCCGTCCCCTCCGCCTTCTAACCCGGACTCCAATGCAGAAATCTGCGCCGAGCTGCGGCGCTATCTTGCAGACGCATCGGCATTCCATGCGGCGCTCGCGCACAAGTGGCTCGGCGTCGATGCAGGAGAAAGTGCGGTGCGTGAGAAGGGCGGAGAGGCCGTGGCGTGGTTGCTGTGGGCGAAGAAGGAGCTCGAGGAAATGAAGGAGTCGAAGCGGGGGCGCAAGGGGCAAGCTGCGACGGAACTAGAGAGTGTGGGGGTCTTCTTGAAGCACTATAAAAAAATCAACGATTCGGTAAGTCAATGGCGTTTGTGAGAGACATTGTGTATTAATTCCTGTACGTCATGCAGTTGACGTTTCAGCCTGTGCCCAAGCAGCAGGACTTGCAGGTGCGGATACCTACGGGAATTTTGGCGGTGCATGCAAAGCCCTACATGCCTCCTGCACCAGCATTCGGTCCTGGATCCGTCGAGCACGCACGTTTGCAGACGGAGGCGTTAGAACTAGATGATAACGATTCATCGAGTGACGAGGCAGCTGCTAGCAGCAGTCGGCGCACGTACGCTGGAGCTGGTTCCTACTTCTAATTCATGTTTAGTTAAAACTCGTGGTTTACTCGCACTTACATGCTGATAACAAGGACAATTACTTGTCCATATTTCTATGCATATTGTACGTTGTACATACATCAAATGAAATATATCACTCTATCCTCATTTGACTGCGTAGCGGAAACTTTGAGCTCAATGGCTAATGATGCTGCAAAGCTACTGGTGGGTTACTAGTACATTGCTCTGACTTCCCAACGAGTCAAACACGGGTTCTTTTGCCGGTGGTTCCAGTAATTACTGTAAAAAATCGAGTCTTGGTGAGCAATCATCACAATTGCACATTGGGATAGCAAGGAAACAATATGTCTGACTAGTGGTGGTAGAGAGCCGGACTTCACTCAAAGAGCACAAGGCTTGACGATGGGGATATGAACTAGCGCAACTGAACATCAGATTGACGTACTCAACGTGATAACCTTACAGATAGATGACTTCCTAATGAGGAGATAATGATGAAGACAATAGGCACACCACGGGCCCGTAGCGAGTAGTCGGTGTTATCAGGCAACTGTTTTGTCCAGTTGCCCTGACCAGTAACGGATAAAAGAGGACAAGCTGGATTCACGTAAGGAGACCACAAGTGTAACCATTGTCAGGATCATCTTGGGATCATCCATTGCATTGATCGTAAAGGAAGTAACAGGGACCGAATAGGGGACCTTGATGTGACATCGTAATGCCGATCGCGCAACAAAATGTGATGGGCTAGACAAGGAAGACAAGGGCTTGCGCACTAATTGAGCCTTGTGAGACAGGTTTCGATAGAAATGACACATGTCAGACTACTACCTTATCTCGTTTACGCTAGCTGCTGCAAGACGAATGTAGAGTTAACCTAATGATCATGGGCGAAGTCAAACAGCATCGTAAGGTGGGAGACCCCACTCCTCCGGTTTGAAATGTTCGATGGACGTGATCGTCTCATCTGGGAGGTATGAGCTGGCATTTGCCACCTTTAGAAGGTTTTCATCGGGCACCCAGACGACTAAAGAGAGTATGAGGCCCTAGATTATAACTTTATAGCCAATAGCCTACCTGACATTCCGGCTCTCTTCCCCGCCTGGACACCATAAATGGCGTCTTCAAACACGAGGCCCTTGCTCCTCTCCACAGCCTCAGCCTCAGTGCACAGCTCTGTAGTGCCCACTGCCTTTCCTAGGACGCCTGCAGCGTGCAGAAAAATATATGGATCAGGTTTCCCCGTAGTCTTCCCTGCCACATCGTCAGCACAGACGATATTCCCCTTGAAGGAATCAAATAATTGTTTGAGATTCTCGGATTTGCGGAGAAAGTTCCGTCGTGATGATGCAGTAGCGACTATAATCGGCACATCGTGTTTCGCCAAGTGTTGGATGAGCTTCTGTACTCCTGGGAGGAGCTGCACGGTTGGCCATCGCGCATCCAATTTTTCTTCGGACTCTGCCATGTATTGGTCGACTGTGATATCTATGCCGGGGAAACAAGAGAGCAGATACGTAGTAGATTCGAGTCGCACTGCAGCATTGTTTCAATCGAAGTTAACAGGAAAGATCAGTGACCAGAGATCACACATTTGCCCATGAGCCCAGCCTTGATGTCCCATGTCATGGTCTTGCCAAAGCGACCGAGGATATCATCTTTCAGCGATCAGCACGATATACTACTAGTAGATGTGGCACAAGAACATAGAGCGCACTTACTCGTAACTTCGGTATACACCCTCTCCGTGTCAATGAGAAGGCCTGTGTTGCCTTGAGTACGAAGCTTGACAGGGTGGAAGTCTCAAGGCCTCACGCACCATCCATGTCAAATACAACATATTCTACTTTTCTTTGCATGTTGCAAGTCTATGGTCTAGAATAATGGACGAAATCAGTAGCTACTATCAATCAGTCCCGAATCCGAGATGCGGTCAACGTCGGGCCGAGTTACCCCGGCCTGTTACTTACAGATTGCAGCAATATGGAATGGCAGTCTGACTACGAAGAAATGTCCGCCATTTCAAAGAACGTAGGTCAGGCTACGGGCAGTTGGAAAATTCAAAGCACATGCAAACGTTATTGGACGGATGGTAGTAAGATAAATATGGTTCGAAATAAATCATACAGAAGCCAAACTATTAATGACACTTCTCTGCAAGGAAAGTAGCCATCAAAGCAAGAATTTATGAAGCCAAGGGTCTAAACAGAAGCTCCGCGGGTGTACTCCTTTTCTCCGGAAGCCACTGTAGCACCCTGCTAACGAACTCAAGAAACAGCCTCTTATCTTCGCCTTCCAAGTTGGCAACCGAATCTGCCAGTGTAATATTCGAGCGTTCCTTAGGCGGATGTCCGATCGATGCAATGAGCTGAGCAAGATGAGCTGCTCTTGTATACGTTCGAGGAGTCCGGGGTCGAATCCATTGCATAATGTTTCATATTCCAATAGTTCCGCGCCTGTCCTCGCACCGACGTCAGCTTCATCGCCAGTTGATAGTTTCACCATTAAACCCACATTCCATATATCCGCGCTGTATGACCGAGGTGCACCAACGGTGACTCCTTGTGCGCGAAATGAATCAGGCTGGATAAGGTGGGTGAGAAGGTGTGAAACATTTCCGAACATTGCAGTATCGAAATCTGTCAACACTGGTTTTCCGGATGCTAAGCCTTGGTAGAAGTCTCCAAAATTGTTCCTGGAAAGGTATATCATGTGGTCTGCGGGAACCTTCTGAGCAAAGGGTCCTCGGCTTCACCGGCCTTGGCAGCTTCGTCAAGCAGAATAGGACTCTCTGAAAGTCCAATTAGTGGATTGCCGGGTTTGATATCTTTCTTTTGCTTTTGGCGAGCGATACACCAGATCAATACTGCCAAAATACTACACATATAATCGAACTCACCGGGCCCAGTGTGGATGACGTGAAACTCTCATAATGCACACAGTCTAGGCGTACAGCATATACCGGAGGGTCCATGAAGAGCGGAGTCATATAGCCCATCGATGAGGCGCAGCTGAGGCAACCAGATGGGTCCCCGCGGGGGTTCGTAGACCAGACATATGCGATTTCCACACGGTCCCCTAGCCTCAAACGAATCGATGACCTATCGCCTAGCAAACGTATAAACGTCATGTTACCTTGGGGCTCAGAAGGTATCCTTGTATTTCAGTAGATCGCTCCCCATCTGTACACCGACGGACGCTTCAAGCACTCTCAAACCAGCTGAGGTCGCTGTTGTTTTGGTCGAGTAGGCTGTGGCCAAGCACAACACGCGGTATGACAAGACGCTGTTCAAGGCGGTAAGTGATCAGTGATCAGTGCGTGCACGTGTGCAGAATCATCTAAATCCTTCCAAAATTAG